TAATTAAATATTAAATAATTAAACATATAATAGAAATAAGTGATGTGATATTTTTATGAAGAAAATATATAAATAATTAAATATGTGATAGAAATCAGTGATGTGACTTGACGTTTGAGTTTGATAGAAGGATGATGAGTGAGGTAAGCGATTGGTGATAATTTTGAGAGGAAAAATATGATTAGGATAAAATTCAAAAAAGTGTTTTATTATATAGATATTTTTAACATGTTAACACTTGTAAAGGTAATGAGTTAATTACCCTTGCTTCCCCCAAGTTATTAAATGATTTCGAACTCGACCCACTAATATTTTCACACACGAAATTTTTATAAATGGTCTCACTCGTACATCACTAACAGGGTCCACCTACCCAATGTATGTTCACATAAANGTTAACACTTGTAAAGGTAATGAGTTAATTACCCTTGCTTCCCCCAAGTTATTAAATGATTTCGAACTCGACCCACTAATATTTTCACACATGAAATTTTTATAAATGGTCTCACTCGTACATCACTAACAGGGTCCACCTACCCAATGTCTGTTCACATACATCATGGTTATGAAAGATTTAATTTAATTAATCCTTCAATACTTCACATAATTATAATTTAGCCCACAAAATTATATTAATATATGTGCAATGCGTGATTGAATCTCACAAAATTATATATTAATTTACAATTTAAGATTCATTTCGTGTTGAGTATTATTTGGTGTTTATAGTCAATGTATTTTTTTATTTACATTATGTGATATTTACAAATTAAGAAATAAGTGGTAAAATACATGCGGTTAGATATATAAAAAAATTGAATTAGTTTCATAAAATAAATAATTGCATAACATGTACTTTTATCTATTTTATGGAGTAAATAATAACAAAAATAACATAGGGGGAACAAAAAAAAAGATAATAGTATGAGAGATAGAGAGAGAGAGTTATATGAGAAATTAGGGTCTTAGAGTTGTAAAAAAAAATGAACTTTCATTTAGGACCATCAAATCAAAATAAATTGAGTCACTAAAAGTACAAAAAAAATAATCTAGTTACTTTATTATATAGATATTCAATATTTTCGGAACTAAAATAATACAATTGAAACATTGAAAATCAAAATAAGACAAACTTCATACTTTAGCGACCTCCAATGCAATTAACCCCTTATGTAGAGAGAAATAATTGGTCATGGAAACTAAAGGAGAAGGGGAGTGATGAAACTACCATTTTAAGGAGAAAATATTCGATGTAACAGTAATACCACATTAGTATTATTATAAGATATCACTAAATAATAATATTTAAATAAGTAAAAAAGTGGATCACACATAAACTAATAACTATGTCAATAACTACCCACTTTTATTTCATGTTACCCAATAACTATTAAGTTGGGTTTACCTTACTTATTTGATATTTTATTATTAATTGGTGATATTATATGAAAATGATGATAAGATATTACCGTTGCATTGAAAATATTTACTCCATTTTAAGAAAAAAATATTGTGTGTAATGATGATATTACATCATCATTGACACATGATATCACCATTCTATAAAAATTTAACAAATAAATATGTGAATCTCACATATTTGAATAACGATCATGACATGTTATTTAATAACTACGTAAATGAGATTCATCTTATATATTTATAAGTATAAGTTTATTATTGAATTGTGATGTTATGTAATTGTGATATTATATATGAATGATGATGTGATGTCACGGTAGACCCAATATTGGGGCATAGAAATGCATGGGGAGACAACGAAGGCAAACATAGCAATGATTTAAGAGTAGAATCAATCAGGTCATGTCACCAGACAGACAAACTAGATGCAAGTGGGGACTGACTGAACATATCAGAACAAGCCCAAGCTTCAGCTCCATCTCTCTCTCTCTCTCATTGCACCTGGTTGGTTTACAGAGACAACATATATAGTCAAAGCAAGCATCAATCGAGCACAGCATTCTGCAATGGACAAATGCTTGGTAGTCTCTGCTATGCTTCTCCAGCAAAATGTTCAGTGGCATTGGATGCCCTCTGAATTTCTTCTCTGCTGCTGTAAACTTTGGACTGTCCAAGAGTATGCACCTTGCATCAGTATGTGGGCTAGCCATCAAGTCTCCTGTTGAAACTAGACAGTACTGTTGACACCTATGAAGTGATACATGTTCTTCAGCAAAATACTACCATTTGTGAGAATGTACAACAAAATTAACAATGAACACAAACTCATATCAGTTTAGTGAACCAACAAGAGATTTATTATGCATAAATCTGTTTATTTGGGTTAATCTCAAATTACACCCTAAAAAATTATTCAAATTTCAATTTATACCCTCAAAGATCAAAATTTTTAATTTATACCCCGAAAAATTATTCGAATCTCAATTTATACCCTCAAAGATAAAAAATTTGAATTTACACCCTCAAACATATAAATTCATATCAATGCGTATCTCAAGCTAACAGCCGGCAGTTTGTCTTCTAAAACTAATAGATAAATTATATCTAGACTCCTTCATGCTTGTCACTTAATCACTTAAATCTCTCACATTTAAAATATTACACCTACATCCCTTGAGAATCTTGTTTAAGTGATGTATTGTATAAAGAACAATATATAAATACCTGCATTATATTGGTCATTTAAATGATAAACTTGATTTTGAACTTTAGAGTTTAACGGGCCCATAAAATGAAGGATTATATGAAATTATAATTTTTTATTATGATGAAATCATATTTTTTAACTATTATATTAACAGATATCAACGATGAGGAGTTATGTGTTATATATGCACAAATTTTAGGAGTTGTAGGAGACATATTTTAAATATAAAAGGGTTCAAATGATTAAGTGACAAGTATAAGAGAATCTAGGTGTAATTTATCCATTTAATTTTAAACGGCAAATTGACGATTGTTAGTTTCAAGTGCGCATTAATACAAATTTTTATCTTTGAAGGTGTAAATTAAGATTTGAACAATTTTTAAGAATGCNATTTAAATGATAAACTTGATTTTGAACTTTAGAGTTTAACGGGCCCATAAAATGAAGGATTATATGAAATTATAATTTTTTATTATGATGAAATCATATTTTTTAACTATTATATTAACAGATATCAACGATAAGAAGTTATGTGTTATATGTGCACAAATTTTAGGAGTTGTAGGAGACATATTCTAAATATAAAGGGGTTCAAATGATTAAGTGACAAGTATAAGAGAATCTAGGTGTAATTTATCCATTTAATTTTAAATGGCAAATTGACGATTGTTAGTTTCAAGTGCGCATTAATACAAATTTTTATCTTTGAGGGTATAAATTAAGATTTGAACAATCTTTAAGAATACNACGATTGTTAGTTTCAAGTGCGCATTAATACAAATTTTTATCTTTGAAGGTGTAAATTAAGATTTGAACAATTTTTAAGAATACAATTTGCAATTAACCCGCTCATTTTATATTTGAGTTTTCACGTAAAAATCGAGATTAAAACAAATACCGACTTAAGTTTAAGGGGAGATTCTATAATTATGCACACTCATATAGTCATAAACAAGTTACATTAGGTCGTTACCATTTGTCTATTACTACAGAATCATAATTGCAGTACACTATGTGATAATCAAGTCACATTTACGTTGTGCTATAATTGAATCTACATAAGATGATAACTTAATTTAGTTGTAACTTATGGGCTATAAATCATAATTGCAGTACACTAGGGTATGTTTATCCTTATGTGGTGATCTTTATTATGAAATCTTCTGGGTAGATATTTTTCTATCTTTTACCAGGTAACATTTACTGCCAAATCCTACAGAAAGGATTGTTTCTGTTGATTTTTTTTTTTGTGGTTCAATGGTCACTAATATCCCCATAAGCTTACGTACACTTCGGCTAATTTCCTCTTTAGTCCGATCAAAGATAGACTATCTATGTCNGCCAAATCCTACAGAAAGGATTGTTTCTGTTGATTTTTTTTTTTGTGGTTCAATGGTCACTAACATTCCCGTAAGCTTACGTACACTTCAGCTAATTTTCTCTTTAGTCCGATCAAAGATAGACTATCTATGCCGAGATTAGGGTATTCAAGAGGATAAATCCCCTCATAGTCTATTTTAAAGTGTTGCTAAAATTCAAATTTAAGACGTCTAAATTTAAAGTTTGAGTTAGTCTTGTTTCTGTTGATTTCAATCAGCCTTTTATTTAAGCANAAGAGGATAAATCCCCTCATAGTCTATTTTAAAGTGTTGCTAAAATTCAAATTTAAAACGTCTAAATTTAAAGTTTATCCTTATTACCACTTAAGTTAGTCTTGTTTTTGTTTATGTTGATTTCAATCAGCCTTTTATTTAAGGAAGAAGTTTGTAGGTTTTTGGTAAATTTATGGATAAACTACATTTCATCCCATTACCTATGATTTGTGTTTCACATTATCCCCTCAACTATCACGTTTATTTTATTATATCTCTTTATATGAGTATTAATTTTAAATTTCTCCCTCAAGTATGACATCGCACATCCAATTGAGGGTATTGGTTTCCCATCACTTGAACTATACCCATTAAAATGGGTACTTCATACATTTGGACAGTTTCTAACATAAACATGTCGGATGTTTAGTTTTGTACAATATGAAACGAATTCAAGTAGTTGAGGGGTATGTTAGATACTGAATAGTTAAGGCATAAAAATGAGACGAGAGTCATAGGTTATTGGGTGAAAGTGTAATTTACCCTATATTTATTGTTCCTCAAGGCCCAAGACGTAGAGGCCACTAGGCTATAGCTTAGCTATATATATGGCTGCATGGGCTTGATCTATAGTGTAGCCTTCCCTATCTTTCTCCTTTTCCTTTCACTGCATGTAATAATATGGAGACCCCCATACTCATACTGCTGACTACAAGAAAGGAAAACAGTGTCATTTAAATCCCTCTTGGAGTTGGTCTTAAAGTGTCTTGGGAGCAACAATGGAGGTTTTGATGGCTGTTTGTTTGTTGTCTTTGTGGGTGTGCTTTTTCTGCTTTGCTATCTTGAAATGGAATGAGATGAGACACAGTAGGAAAGGAGTGCCTCCAGGGACAATGGGGTGGCCATTTTTTGGTGAGAATGCCGAGTTCCTGAGACAAGGACCAGATTTCATGAAAAACAAGAAGGCAAGGTGAGGCCTATTTATTCTTCATGCGGTGGTATTGTGTATCTTTTACCCTCTGAAGTTGGGTTTCTGTTGCTCTCTCTCTCTCTCACAACCACCCCCAGTCTTTAGCCCAAATAACTCAAGTGGTAATATAGATAACTGAAAAATTAGATATTTTGAATTCGAATTTTAGTAATTTATTGTGACGAGAGCACTAAGAATTTATCACTTATGAATACTTTAATCTCATTATAGATGACCTGCTTTTGATGGGATGAGCCCGAATACCCCGAAGGTTGGTAAAATAAACACCCCAAGTTTTTGAGGACCATGAATTGTTCTATGACTTTTAGTAATGCCGCACATGACTTCATCTTTCTACCATTAAAGATGTGTTTTATTATTTATTTTTTCCATTAGAGATGTGTACCTGCCAGGAACCAGAGCACTTTCAGTCTTATTTCACAATAGAGAACAACAAAAATCTTTTGTTTTTCTTATCAAAGGCCACTTCTTTATCATGATTCATGACTATAGGAATGAAAAGTTTAATGGGAATAATTTTAGTCATTTAATTTTATTTTTTCTGACTTCTTCATCTGCATATACCTCTGAAAAATAAAAAAGAAAGAGATTCATCTGTATGAAAACCCTTTTCAAAAGAAAATTTCATCACAATTATGAATCGAGTAATGTTATTGGAATCTAAAAAATAGATATAATTTGCCGACATAACGGTATGTCGATTTGATAAAGTTTTAATGAAAAAGTCTCAATAACATTTCTCTTATGAAGCTCTTCACCAAAGCTTAAAATTTTGCAACTTTCTCTATGATCATAAATTAAGTGTTTTAATTTTTTTTTTTTCAACAGTCAGGAATATTTTGATCAGTTTACGTGTACTTCGACTAATCTCTTCTCTGGTACATTCAAAAGTTGGCTACCCACGCCAGGACTAGGATATTCATGAAGAATAAATCCCTCATAACCTGATTCCAAAAAATTGTCAAGATTCGAACTCAGAACATCTGATTTATAGTTCATCATTATTATCACTTGAGCTACCCATTGAGATTTATTTTTTTCTTAAAATTGCATGATAATACAATCCTTAATTTCATGTCACCAACACTATCATGTTTGATCTTCTAGCTATTTAACCTTAACTAGAGTTAAATTTGCTAACTTTCCTATGGATTTCCTTCTTTTATGATAGGTATGGACCTGTTTTCAAAACCCATATATTGGGTTGTCCCACCATCATCTCTGTGGATCCTGAGCTAAACAGATACATACTTTTGAATGAAGGAAAGGGTCTTGTTCCTGGCTATCCACAATCCATGCTAGACATATTGGGGAAGTGCAACATATCAGCTGTGTATGGGACTACTCACAAGTATATTAGAGGGTCATTACTATCTCTCATTGCTCCTTCCACCATTAAAGACCAACTTCTCTCTAAGGTGGACAAATATATGAGAATCTGCCTCCATAATTTGGATGGAGAAACCATTGACATCCAAGAGCAAACCAATGATGTAAGTGCATAAATTAATAACTTAGTTTGAGTTAAAAGTAGTTCTAGATGGAGACGATGGATGTTCTTGATCATCTTATCGTCTGCTACCTTAAATTATACGTAATAGTTTAAAATTTGTGTCATTTTTTGGGGTTGTTTATAGAAAACTGTCGTCAAACTCAACTTTAATTGCATAGTTTTACATGTTTTGGTCAGATGGCATTGTTCATATCCTTCAAGCTGATTGTGGACACTGAATCAAGTTCAGTATATGATGCTTTCAAAGCAGAGTTCAGTAAGCTACTAATAGGGTCACTTTCACTTCCAATCAATTTTCCAGGCACAAATTACCATAGGGGATTCCAGGTATAATAATCTTAGCACCACCATGCCCACTTATAATTCTCAAATGGAATTTTTTTGACTAATGTGAAAGCAATGTTCTTTACAGGCCAGAAAGAACATCATAAAGATTATGGAACAGATCATTAAGAAGAGGAGAGCTTCGTCGATGAACCATGATGACATGCTCGATAACCTTGTAAGAAACGTAGACTCGAAATATGAGCTGAGTGATGAGGAAATTATAGATCAGACAATTACAATTCTGTATTCGGGTTATGAAACTGTCTCAACTACTTCAATGATGGCCATCAAGTACCTTCATGATCATCCAAGAGCTCTTCAAGAACTAAGGGTGAGAGCCCGAGACTTATAGCAATGTACAAGATGGATTATTTTTCACTTCACAATATTCTAGTATTCCCAAATCCAAACAGTTAAATTTCGATTTTTAACTCTTTCAGGATGAACATTTTATGATTCAAAATGGGAAAAAACCAGAGGAACCAATTGAGTGGACAGACTACAAGTCTATGACTTTTACACATGCTGTAAGCTAATCACAACTGAAACTTGCTAGAGGAAAGGTCATGGAACTTAGGTTTTGGAAATTTTATGTCCTTTGATGCAGGTGATCTTTGAAACATTGAGGTTAGCTACAATAGTGAACGGAGTACTGAGGAAGACAACCAAAGAGATGAAATTGAAAGGTATGTTTTGTTGTCTCCAATGAGCTGAAGTTTATTCACATTTAATTTTGAAGTTGGAAGCAACATAGAGCTCTAAAATTTGTGTCGTGGCAATGCAGCGGAACAAGGAATACAAATAACATTATGATTTTTTATGTATTGAACTAAAATGAACAATCTTAATCTATAGAGAAAGTAGAAAAAAACTCTGAAATATAATATTATTCAAAGATTAACTCGTAGTACAAATGCGCAATATAAATAGAAACAGTCAAAATCCTAACCGTTCCCAAAACATAAGCAAAACCCCTAAAATTATGAAAAATACCAAAAAATAAAAATCACATATTAACATAAAAACACCTGTCATTTGGAGTCTACAAATTGACGACACTAAATTTAGAATCTCTTATGATTTATTATTCATTTTAAAATCTTTCTTAAAATGGAAAAAATAAGATTTTAAGGGCCTAAATGATGGAATTAGTTTTGATCGTTAGCCCGATCCAAATGAAATACCACTAGTCCTACTGAATTCTAAATCTGACTCATTTTGTCACATTATTACTTTTTGTCCTTTCGTTGTGCTTTAAAGCCACGATGATCAGCCAGTTCCAAGTATTCTACTGACTTTTGTGCTGTTTAGGATTTGTAATCCCAAAAGAGTGGAGAATCTATGTCTACACGAGGGAGATCAACTACGATCCAATTCTCTATCCAGAGCCATTAACATTCAATCCATGGAGATGGCTGGTGATCAGTAAACAATTTTCAGCAATTCTTGTTTGTTGTGTGCCCAAAAAAGTAACAACTTGAGGATATGCTTCTTGATTGGTATATGCAGGATAAGAGCTTGGAATCTCACAGATACTGCTTCTTATTTGGAGGAGGAAGCCGTCTGTGTCCTGGAAAGGAATTGGGCATTGTTACAATTTCTACATTCCTTCACTACTTTGTTACTCGATACAGGTTATTTACAACTTTCATTCACTGTACATCTCTTCAGTGAAAACCTTTAAAATTGAATTCATGTATTTGATACATGCTATAGTTCAATTTTTCCACCAGAGTGCGTGAATTCGATTGTAAGAGTAAGGAATCAGAGCAATGTTTACAGTGCACACCTACCATGTTTCTATTTTAATGTTGTGGTGCATTTTTCTGTTGTAGATGGGAAGAAATTGGGGGAGAAGAGATCCATAAATTTCCAAGAGTGGAAGCACCAAAGGGGCTGCATTTGAAGGTGCTGAAGTACTAAGAGCCATGGATTACCAAAAGTCACACAGCCACTAAACCATCCCTAAGGATTTCAGTGAACTATCTATCAATCAAACCAAAGGAGCCATAAATGAGTCACTTTATGTTATTACTTTCACAATCAATGACTATAAATAACTCAAAACGAGATGTACAACTAAGAATCATTTTCTTATGTATTACCGGAAAGTTAAGTTTTGGTATGATAGCACTATTCAAGCGTATTATTGCACCATCGACGAGTCTATGGGGTTGAGGATGGGCAGAAAAAGGGGGGGATACTTTATTGACCGGTATCAACATCCATACACACTCTGTTGAACCCATTTACATTGATTGAACCATTAGGGAAGTTATTGATTACAACCAAAAAAAGAATTGTACATAGTTTGGAAGGATTGTGTGACTGGTCTAGAGTGTACTTGGTGTAGACTTGTATTCATTTTTAGTTAGAGAGCCTAGCAATTCATTCGCTTATTTGCAGTGGCCCTTTGGGGCCGTGAATAAACCAACAACCGACCTCCATCCCCAGCTACAGCAAAAGCACCTGAGCTTGAATCATCAGTAGCAATACATGACACTCTGATACCTGAATCAGGAAGAAAAAAACATAAGGTAACATGAATTCTAAAACCTCATAAATCGACTAAGGCGCAGAGATTTCAAATTTCATGCAGACCATCCAAAATTTTCCTATTTATGTTCAATAGACAGACGAAAATTTTGGAAAAATAGGGTGGTGACTTAGCAGGATGAGGCGTCTCTCATAGAAACTGATGTTCTTATGCTTTCGAAAAATGTGCGTACAGGAAGGAAAGAAACTGGATACGAATAATAGACCTATTTCCTAGAAAGAAACCTATGGGAGATGGCTTGCCAATGCCACTTCTACTGAAAAATGACGAGGTTAAAAACTATTGGCAAGTAAGAAATTCCATTGAACCTCTAAAGTAAAGAAATTAGTATCTCAAATAGGGCTTCATCTGCAAAGGTGTCAAATGAGAATAAAATTTCCAAAGATTAAGTTATTGGAGAAACTTAAAACCCTATGATGCAGCTAATCCCAAGAGTGGTATTATTGGAAAGAAAACCATTCTGACCCAACCCTCACAAAATCACCTCCTCCCCACCTCACCCCAAAAAATAAACAAATTATAGACAGAGACATTGAGATACATTAGTTGCGATGTCATAGAACAGTATAAGGTGATATACACAAGACATTAGATAAAAGTAAAAGTTGGACATGATGTGATATTCAGGTCATATTGCCACACCGCGGAACAGTATCAACTTGATTTGATGACGTTGACTCAAATTACTTGGGATTGACTTAGAGATGAGAATTGTAGTTTATAAGATATCGTAACCGAAGATGTTGAGTCGGAAACCCCAAGATCAATCACTGTCTCAGTTTTCCACTTGAAAATAAAATGGAAATGGATAAATATGCACAGTTTTGCAAAAAAAAGGGTATGCAGTTTGGTATTTAGTTATGATTTCTTGTTTTTTTTTCTCCTAATTTTTCTTAAGTGATGTTTAGTTTTTTGCACATACTACAAAACTCCATAAAGAGAACATATATTAAAGAAAAGACAAATGCTACGACATGAAGTGTACCTCGGAAATCATGCAAATTGCCAAGCATAGTTCCTGTAGACAATTCCCACATGTACACAAGTCCATCACAGGTACCAATGATTCCATCACCAGCTGATGCTCCAATTGCAGTAGCCCTGCATGGAGAATTCCATGAATTAAATTTCCGTCACATCAAATAGAAGAAAGATCTCTGCACCTCAGAAACATGAAACAAAGAGACAGACATCACCACTTATATCACAAAAAAGGTCTACAAGTATCTATCCAAAAATCTTAAATGGGTTCTCGAACTTGCAAAAACTTGTTCTTGCATTGTATTACGATGGCATCTCCTCCCTACAAACTAAGAAATCCAGCCAACAAAATAGCTTTCAAATTGTAAGTATATGAAGGAACTAAATTCATCAGCATTAGACTCAAGATTTTTTTCTCTCTCACACATGCTTTTAAGTTCGCTTCATTTCACACCCTATAAAAAATTAGCGATGGCCTTTAAAATGATATGTGAGATCCAACAAAGAGATATACCATCCATAGTAAGTTCCACAAATCCCAACCCACCCTCCGCCCCCCC